ATCGAGTTCATGAGGAAAAGGTAGTTATCAGTTCTCAGACGGTAAGGCAAGGATGTCTGAACTCCGAAGAGAATAGATATGATGACTTCTTGGCTGAATCAAGAGTATTGTTTGAGGGTTTGGATATCTGAATAACGACTACAGCTTATGGTCCTCTACTGTCACGGCCTTTTATACCCAACGGTCCAAATGTGTCCAAATCCATATGCATGGCAAAACCCGGAAGCCACGCGGAACCAAACAAAGACAGTGGGCACTCCTCTGGGATGAACCAAGAAATTCTCTCACCGTAGAAGATCCTTATAGTTCCAGTCATCATTGCGCACATTATCTCTTAACTGATAGGCCGCACCAAGATTAGCAAGGCTTAGGTAGAGAGCACATTTCATATCGCCATCGGTATGGATTGTGGAATCTGATAGAGTTCGGGCTTAGCTTCAAAGATTTCTACTGGGGGACCTGAGGAACCAGCGGGCGGGTTCCAGTATTGATAGAAGCTAGAATGAACGTCGAAGTTACATAGAAGCCACCCATTGATACCAAACATGACACCACGATCAGGACTGAAAATTGGACTCTGAACAATATCAAAGATTCACTTCATCAGCAGCAGACCCTAGACGAAGTAGAAGCAAGTTGTACATGCTTCCCATTATCCCTATGGCAGAAGAACTTGTGAAGCTGATGACGGCATTATCTCGGTTCTGTCATCTGAATACGATATCGTATCGTCCTAAAATACAGGATCAAGCCATGTGACTTCGGAGAAAGCCGGGATCGTCAGACGGCGAATGACTCAGCCCGCCCATCTTTCAGATACAGTGAGCTACTGCCGAAGAAAAATCGGGACGCAAGTTGAACATGAACGCGGCGCTCGGTGTTCGGGGCCTGCTTTGTTGCTGCTAAAAATTCTCGGTGACCCATTGCGTCAGTCAAGGCCCTCCATATCGCAGCGGCAGGGGTCAAGGTGCCGTCAAGATGGAGGATCCCATTGGCCGAAGTATTCCCGCGTCGCCGACCTACAAGAGCATGACTAGATCGCCCATTACGTCCACTTATAACGTTCTCACAGTCATTGCTCAGTGAATTTTTAGATACACTGAGGGCTGATTCAGGCAGCTCATTGAAGAATTTCATTCGGTTGGAAGACGCAGACTGGGAACTCCGGTCAGAAAGTCATATTGAGTTCAATCATTTAGCAGCTTCAAAGACTGATTCGGAAGTTCGTCTGACAGCGAAGTGATCTTCCCCCTCTTCTAGACTGAGATCCCTTTGTTCGACCTTGACTACGTGTGCGAGACGTGGTCCCTTGTCGATGTCTTTGAAGAACTTCTGGAGTGTCTCGTCGTCACCTTGGACTTCTCCCTCAACCTGTTGCCATGACCTTAGCCTCCTGTTGATGTATAGGTATCTAAGGGGTTGAACGAACTCTTCCACAAGTAGTGTTCTTCACCCAACCTTTCAACCCGTACTCAACTGCACGCTTCTGAGTAAAGTCACTGGAGGTCAGAAGATAGGGGTTAGAAATGTGTCTATGCTGAAGGTCTTTGTAGGCAGATCCATCATCCTACCGGAATCCGACACCTGGAAAACGTTGATTGAGTTAGTAACCATTCGACGTACTCAATGGCGAAGCGCGAACCACGCTGGTAAGACATCAAGGAGCAGCAGTGAAGTACTTACCTTGCACAGAGCCGTGGACTTTGAATGCAGTCTGATACATGTCAGTCACGTGCTATGAATTCAGATGACGTCTTAAGATAGAAAGAAGACGAAACGCGACTGGGAATTCTAGATGGGATCGGGGTAGAAGTACTCGCCGCGATGCCATGTTGACAAAGTCTTTGATTCTTGTTCTGTGATTCAAGGTCGTGCAATCGTGATCCTTTTGGTGTGTTTTGTTTTGATCATAGCCGTGGTGAGTTGCTTCGTTCATTCTGGCCATCAAGTGGGGCTCCAGCTACGTACTGTGATGCCTCAGGCTGCGAAGCGTCAAAGTAGGCGGGCGCCTTCCAAATTTAGCACTCTTTTCCATTTTAGGCTAGCTCAAACACTAGTGCCTTTTTGGGGTCAGGCACTGATACTGACCAATATTAAGCCAAGGTACTCGAAGAGTACCTACTCACTAAGGTACTCATAAGGAATTGGATCTTCAAGATCGCAGATAGGAAAGCTCTGGAGCTGGAGGTTTGGCTTGATTGCAGTGGTGATGTTTAAGAACCAAGCTTTGAGAGGAGTATCGCAGTTCAGACCGTAGGTCGTTATGTAGTAGATGCCCCAACTCAAGCTCGTGATTCTTGACTGTTGTACCCCGTACCTAGGTAGGTAATCTGTGGCTGACTCCGCCCCTGAGCTCGTTTTCCTCCCAAACGCTCTCCGCAATCCATCTTCCTCTTCTCTCGGCACCTTTGTCAATGGGTCCGGGCATGCGATGCTTGTGTTAAAATGACTTCAATTTTTTTCTGGTTTCGGAGACTCTACTCTCTTGATACCCTCGACACTCGTTTCACCGCATCTGCGACGACATCGCTAAAGGCCGCTGCTGACACGCGACCCCCGTCTGCGAAAGATGCTCGCGCAAATGCCATCGCCAATGGCGCTGCGCCTCCAAACTGGCGAACGCCTGAATTTCTTGTTTACTACTTTGTCTTCTTAACCGTGGTGCCCATGATGTTCAAGACTGTCATTGATGCTTCGAAAGGTACGGCGTGTGGTTGCGAGTGTGCGGGGAGATTGGAGACCCATGCTGATCAAATGCTTTAGAGAGTCATCCCACTTATTCTACTTACGAACATTTGCTATCGCCAGGCTGGATACCTGGCCGTAAGGTGGTGAGTATTGGCTGCATACCGCTGTTCTCCATGATGCTGATGGCCACATTGAATAGGACAACTCCGATGCCCAATTCTCAAACTTCCGTGATAACATTCCCTACCTTCTCATCCTTCTCGTCGCACATCCATTGCTTCGTCGCGTCTATGAGCGCTATCTACTGCGGTCCCATGCCACCTCTGTCTCTCGAAATACCGATGCGGTGGCTGCTGGAGACGCTCGACTGGATCGACGGGTGCGATTCGATTATTACTTTGCTCTCGCGTTCATAACTGCCCTCCATGGTGTCTCGGCTATCAAGGTTCTCGTGGTCCTGTACTTGAACTACAAGATTGCCAAGTCTTTCCCTAGGAAATATATCCCCGCGGCCACCTGGATATTCAACATCTCCACTTTATTCGCCAACGAGCTTTGTGGCGGGTACCCGCTTGAGCGCATGGCCACTTTCTTCACAGTGGGTGGGGCAGAAGAAGCTCACTTGGTGCAATGGGCTAGATACATCGATGGCTTTGGAGGCTTAATGCCCCGATGGGAAATACTCTTCAACTTGACGGTCCTGCGGTTGATCAGTTTCAATATGGATTATTACTGGAGCCTGGATTATCCAGCGGCGAGCGCAATTGAAGTATGCTCTGAGATCACTGACACTTGCGAGTGATAACTGACAGCCATAAGAAGAAACAGCTCGATCCAGCAGCGCTGTCGGAGCGTGATCGTGTCAACATCCCGCCAGAACCGACTGCGTTCAATACTCGAAATTACGTCGCCTATGCCCTTTACTCGCCTTTGTACTTGACCGGTCCAATCCTGACCTTCAACGACTATATCGCTCAGCAAAGATACGCGCCACCATCCCTTACAAAAACCCGCACTCTTCTATACGGCATCCGATTCTTCTTGACGTTGCTCAGCATGGAATTGATCCTTCATTATATATACGCCTTGGCTATTTCCCAGGCGTCGCCTGATTGGTCCCTGTATTCAGCCGGACAACTTAGCATGCTCGCCTTCTTCAATCTACATATCATTTGGCTCAAACTTCTCATTCCCTGGCGCTTCTTCCGCCTCTGGGCCATGGTCGATGGTATCGATCCCCCTGAGAATATGGTCCGCTGTGTGTCGAACAATTACTCCGCTTTTGCCTTCTGGCGCGGCTGGCACCGATCCTTTAACCGCTGGATCGTCCGCTATCTCTACGTACCTCTGGGTGGAGGAGCACGCTCAGGAGGCGCGAACAAATCCTCGTCAGGCCTCCTCTCCAAAGCACGTCAGATCTTCAATTTCCTTGTGGTATTCACGTTCGTCGCTCTGTGGCACGACATTAACCTTCGTCTTCTCATGTGGGGCTGGCTCATCACCCTCTTTGTCCTGCCCGAGGTCATTGCTACTTTGCTGTTTCCCGCTCACAAATGGCGTTCGCGCCCAACCACATACCGTGTTCTCTGCGGTGTCGGTGCTGTTGGAAATATCCTTATGATGATGGTTGCCAATCTTGTTGGATTTGCCTTGGGACTGGACGGGCTCAAGGGTCTCTTATCGGAGATTCTTGGATCTTACTCGGGCATTGGCTTCCTTGTTGCTGCCTGTGCAGCACTGTTTGTGGGTGTGCAGGTCATGTTCGAGATTCGAGAAGAGGAGTTACGGGCTGGTATTAAGATGAAGTGTTGATTCTTGGATATCAGAGTTCTCTGAATTGATGTTATTTATGTACATAGACATTGATCATTAAAAACTGTCTATGTGAGACGTTGAGAGCCGTGATATTCCACTCGTAGCGGGTATGATGGACTACTGAAAGCTCCTGGCTTTGCGAGTCACATCGACTATGGCTGCAGCATGCAGACGAACCTTCCACCAGCTGCGATGGTGGCCTGTCTGAATCATTTGAATCATCTAGAATTGAATTTGCCATGAGGCATTGGCATCGATCGTGAAAGGAGACGCCTCAAACGATTTATACCATCGAGGGACGGTAAGGAGTCTAAGCATTAGTGATAGACTGTGTGAGTGCAGGGATGGATGAATGACGCCTGTCATCCCCTACAGCGTTAAATCGCGTCTTGTGAGACCGTTGCGACTTTCGCAACAGGTCTTGCAACTCGGCCCCTTGACCGCTATGAAGCTGGCATTCTCAACAATGTTGACATCGGTATGTTTTTTGTCAACGCTTACCGGCCGAACCGGTATGCACCAGACACCTCAGAAGAAGGCTCCGCATCGCGAGTCTTCATGAACCTTGTAACAAGCCAGTCCGCAAGTCCGAACATGACAATTCTTGCACCGAATCTTGCCCCAATACCCGCACATACAGCAGAAGTGCCGTGGTGTCTTGGCGGTTAGGGGTGGACCAGCACGGGCCGCGTTGTATGTGAGTGGCGGTTCGGCCAGGAGTGCCTGCATGATGCGCTCCGAGGGTGCGGACGGGATGTACGACTTTAGAAGGGGATCGTTATCGTGCTCTGATTTGATCAGTCGATTCAGGTTCTCGGTTTCCGGCTCGGGCTGCTTGTTGTCTTCGTCTGTGCCGGAGGGCGTCGCGTGGGTGCTGGTCTCTGCGGGGGTCGTTGAGGCCCTTGACGGTGGGACAGTGGATTGCTTCCTTTTCGATGAGTCTGACTTGGGAGTGGCAGCGGGAGTTAGACTTCGTCGTGATGGCTTCGTTATCTTGCTGATGGAGGGGCGTTGTATAGTTGACTGCGCGGCTTGGGCCAGGGCGGCCTCCTCGTCATCGAGGTAGTTTCGGAAGGTTTTTTGCGATTGCAGGATACGGCGCACGTTTGAAGTTGTCTTTCCTCGTGTTCCTAGCAGTAGTAGGTGCAAGTCAGCCATGGCGGGTTTGCTTTAGAATCTCAGCGCAATGCTTGCAATACCTCTACCAGCCGTATCCTTCTGTTTCACCGGAATCGGAATATGCACGTCTCGATGGTTCTCCCGGTCAAGCTCAGCTAAGTGGCGAATGATTGCATTGTTCTGGCGCGAAGACAAGTCGGTACGACCACTATCGCGGATGCCTCGTTTCCTGCCGATGGTAGGTGTGATAGCTGCTTGGGCTGGGTCGAAGCCGCGGTCGGGGACGTAAGTCCATCCGGGCGTGACATGGGTGGATGTGCTGGGGAGGACTTCAATGCGGTACATGATGGAAATGATAGAAGTGCCTGATATGGCCTAACATGCTTCCATCGCGATGGTTGTCTGACAGCGTGAAGCTCTTAATATTGCCCAAAAGATACCGCGCCACGGATAAGTGTTTGTAGTGTTTGCATCCTCTACAAGAGGACTCAGGTAGAAGAACTGGGTCACGTGCTTGAGGTGCATCTCTATGTGTAGTATTGGTTGATCACTGAACTCGGTCCTTCGATCAGAGTACCATTGGAGTATATATCATTAGAGAATTAGTGGTCTCAAATGACTCCAGATATGTCATTCTTGTGGAGACTGTACAAACAGAACCTAAAGCGTGGTACACTTGCTCAAGCTGGTAAAGATCCAACAGAAGATGTAATACTCGGAAGTGAGAAGCAAACAGTGATAAGATTAAAGATAATCAGACAATTTTCCCTCATTTTTTCTTTTGCAACTGGTCTATCTTTGTCTCCAGTTCCGTCACGTAAGTTTGCAGTCTTGTTGTGGCTGCTTGTAGAGCCTGGTGGAATTCGATCAGTATGATTCAAAGTACGGATGATTAGGGAAGTGAGACGAGAAATCAATCGAGGTGTCCAGTCCATTGCGTCCAGCTGTGCACAGAATCATAATCTCAGGATGCTTTGATATAGCATCATAGCAGCACGAGACGGACAGGGAAGACGAGGTAGGGACAGAATCCTCAAGAATCCTGCTTGTAGACGAAAGCGATCAGAGACATACATGGATATCTTCATTCAGCATTTGATTTGCCACTCTGTACTCTCCCAGAATGTAATAGTAGACCGAAGCACCGGCAACAGCAGTTCCAGCGAGGAACCCAAACAACCTAGAACAGGCGTCAGGAGAACATCCCATATATCCGGTAAAACAATCAAACACAGAAATTTGAAGCTCTTACCCGCCACGGAATGCACCCAGAGGCTTCCTCGCAGGCAATGCTGTACCTGCGTTCCTGAGGCTCCGGGATGTCGAGAAGCCGCAGACAGATCCGAATGCGGACCTGGGCGCCCCAGAGCGCAACAGAGAAATCGCGTTTTTATGTGCAATCATGTTTGGTCATAAGTCTGGAGAGCTATGCTTCCAATTAGTGAGAAACATGCTTTAGAACTCGAGACTAGAGAAGGAAAGTTTCATCTTCTCACATTTAATCAGGAGATGAAGTTGGGCGTTGACTGTCACGAGCGCGTGACGTTGGTGTTGCCTGTTTTGGCGCTGCGAAATGCGGTTGGATCCGGCGACTCCTGTCTGCACTGTTTTCGGTTTCCAACTGCTGCAGGCGCAAAGACATCATCGCTGAGCGTATAGAGCAAGTTATTATTATTTGAGCTCAGTGCTTGTGAGTTTATTTATCGCATATTCTCAGCGCTGAGCAACTGCCTAGATTCATCCTATAAAATATGCAACAGCTTCCAAGCGCTAACTAATGCTAGGGATGGAACCTGCGACACCATACGTCGCGTTCTATCTGTCAAAAGGGCAACAGGTCATTACATCAAAGCTGTTTAGTATTATAGAGACAGATATCAACTAATTGATACAAGAACAACAAAACAGGCACATCAATTGGCCATGGCGCTCTCATTGAACAAATCCGCCAATAAGTCGTCCTGGCAACTCTTCAAGTCAGGGTTGCCCAAACCATAAGTGCTTTCGAAAGCATGAATACTAAGTCGGTCGAGAAATGGTCGAAGTACACGATCAATAAGCTCGTCCTTTGCCGTCTCACGGATCCAGTCCAATGTCAGCTCAGGCCGCTTCATTCCATCGCTAGACTCGGTAGCTTCACGCGGTGAACCTGGTGGCGCGGACCCACGTACACCCAGGGTCTGCGAGATCTCGTCTGCAAGCGCCATTGATTCTAGATGCCCAGGGGGGTAAACAGCATCAATCGTATCGGTGACATAAAGCCACTCGAGAAGCTGAAAATCATCAGGCGCCAGAACAAGTAGTGTATCCAGAAGCTTACACGCTTGCAACAACGAGTATGCATTGTAAACTTCTTGTTGCGCTCCTAGCGGTATGGCAGAGATAGCTTCCTGAAGCTCTGTATTGATTAATGGCCAGAATGGCGCAAGAGTGGTAGTTGAAGTCTTCAGCGCAAGCGCGCGAAGTACCATGAATATCTCTGCTCTTGTGGTGGAGGACGGAGACGACGAGCTCGTTGCTGCAAGGAGATCTTCCAGCTTCTGAAGCAGCTCTGGTAGTTCTCCAATGAAGTAATCCTCATTTGCAGATAAAATCAGCAGTGTTATCCTCCGCAGATTCAACTGAGCCTTCCGGTCAGCTTCCAAGCGAGCAGCAGATGCACCAACACCGAACATGAGCCCTGCTGTGCTCGGCGCTGGAAGACGAGACATCAACTCTGATAGGCGGTCTTTGTCGGCGATCACCCATTGCCTGAGGAGCTTCATCCAACCGCTTTTCACAAGATCAACCTGGGAGCCAAAAAATCGTGGATCGTTGAAGGCATCGGTTATGTCTTTCTTCCAGATTTTTGCAGCAGCTGGAACCTTCACAATGTGTTGCAGGAGAGACATCACACTGCCGTTTATATTGTTAGGGAATAGCCGCGAACGCAGAAGAGGCCCGATCACATGAGAGGAAATGCCTGACACAGCGGAGACGATGCGATCAGAATCGCCTAATAGCGCGGTAAAAGATGGCATCGAGAGTGCAAGAATACTGAGCATATCGTCAGGGCCAGCGTGCGGTACAGCCGAGTTGTCATAATCCAGGGATGGCCTCCCCAGCATACTCGAATCATGAGATAGTCCCAAAGGCTTGCTTGTGAAGATTGCGGTGAGCAAACGAAGCAATACATCCTGCATGAAGTTAATACTGCACTGCATGGTTAATGCTGCGGGCAAGACATACCCCTAGTTCCTTCCTCATCCTTCGATCCTCGCCAAAGGTCGTATTCTCCATTTTGGCTCCAAGAATGGCAGCAAATTCCACTAGCCGGGGGAGAATCTGTCTGTGGGGGAAAGGGTTGCTCAAGACGTCACGTAAAAATGTTGTACAATCTGCCCAGATTTCGTCAAGTACATCATCATCCAGAGACCTGGCATAAGTAACCAGAAACCCTGCCAGTTCCGATTCAGTGAGGCTTGATGTCAAGGCAGATTTACGGTTGGGATCAAGGGCAGCAGGATTCGTTCGTGTATAAATGGCATTGAAGATTGCTGGAATGGTGATCTTTGGGCGAGATCCGTCCAAAGTGTGAAGCAAACTGAAAATCAGAGGTGATGTGTCAGGGTCTGCTCTTGACCACATCTCTACCATCGTCTCTAGACATTCAAGAGCCTCCGCAGTGAAAAGATGCTCAAGAATCCGACGAGACCTGTTTCTCATCCGCAAAGAGGTGTATTGGAAGGATGCGAGAGACTCGGCATCTTGGGGTGGGCCATTTCGCTCCATGGCGCCCCAAGACCATATGGAAAAGCACAGTCGAACGGCATCTTGGAAGCACAACAATACAGTCAATCTGTTGTTCGCTGCGGTCGAGCGCCCCTGGTTGGAATCTGTCGCAAATACTCCCGACACCATGTTGCCAAAGAACCCATGGGCGTGGTCAGGGCTTTTGACAGCTGGTACGTTCGCTTCCTCAACGAGAAGCCGTTCGTGAGCTGCCGCTATGCACGTCTCAAGTCCGGTAAGTAGGGTAATGGTGGCATGTTCAGAGCGATCTTCTGGCCAACCGTTTGTCTGTCTAAAAGAGAGCTGAAGATTCGTATATGATAATTGAATCTCCTTACAGAAGCATTCCACTAACATGAGCAGGATCTGGAAAAGGGATCCTGAATATAGAGGAAGCACTTCACAAAGCAGTAGAGTCCACTTCTCCACGATATCTCTCGAACTTTTAGAGCTAATGCCTTTGAGAAGGCACTCTAGGAGCTGGGAAGGAGGTTGAGGTTGGACAGGAAGCGAAGGGCTTCTATCAGCCTTATCACTCGTAAAGGAAAGAAGTGACGGACTTGTGAGGCGCTCCCGGGACTGTGCTCGCTGATGTTTTGGCCTAGGAGGGGGTGGTGGCAGGTATGCTTGCGCGAATCGGACTTTCAACGCTGAGAGCAGGGTATCTATCATAGCCCCTTGCAAATCGACGCTACCTCCCTCATCGAGGACAGAAGACAGTTGATCAACCAAGAAGGAGTCAATTCCCGACTCAGCGATCTCTTCAGCCCCGGGTCCTAGAAGAAGTTGTCTTATAACCAGCAGGGAGGTCTGTTGTAGTTTCACCTCTTCATAGTCGGCCTGTGCTGCTGCATTCCTCCCTTTCCCAATGATTACCTTTGACGATAATTGGAAAATGATAGAGTGGAGAGATTGAAACTCAGCACCATCTAAGCCCGTTGTAAGCCAAGCACTCAAAACTAGGTTCCCAGAGCTTACCTTCACAAGCAACGTCCTTCTGTTTATCCACTGGATTCAATGTTTGAGTGAGAAGAGCCATCCATCCACTATGAGACAGCGAGCACAGGATATTGTAGATTGTTCGTAAAAGGTAGTTACACTCTTTATAGTCGTCAGTGGAAATGACAGCATTGTCGCCCTCATTTTCTGGCTGAGCTTCTCGCAAGAGAAGATTCTCAAGTCGCAAGATCACGATGCGAAATACCCTAAGAGAGACATGAGGAATTGTACAAACCCCACCTTCAGGGTCTGACTCACTTTTGAATGGACGATAAATCTTGAAGCCATCGCTGGACTACTTGTGAAGCCCCATTTGGGCCCTGACTCAGAAGATCCAGAACGAGAAAGAGAGGGCGCTCAAGCATTGACGAATAGTAAGACGCTTGGGCCTTTCTCGTATCGTGTGCTTGTTTTGGAGAAAGTTCGTGGGAGCCATGGTTGCTATGATTCCAAAGAACAAAATATTTTCCAGCCTGCTCCTCAGATGACAGATGGTGGGAGCTTGGTGCTGAACCAACCATTAAAGATGTTATAGACGCCTCGACAATATGATCTGACCAAGAAACCGAGTGTAGGTGCCAGAGACAGCGGACCGCCTCTACATGAAACTTGGGGCTTGCTGGTGAGAGGAATTGCCAAAGATGTCGGACGAGGGTCGGTATCAGCTCTGCAACATCCTCGTAGCTGATATAGTACCCAGGTGCGTGTATGAAATACAGGCTGGTCACTGCGGAGACAATGGAAGAAATAGCCGAGAAAGAAGATGTCGACTGTTCCACCTGGTCCATGTTCATACGATTGCAAATAGCCAGATAGAAGCGCCTGTCACGGAACACGAATGATTTGGGAAGTCGCTTCAGCAAAGCAACCAGAAGATTCAGTATCTCTTGAATAGGTATACTACCATTGGGTTCTTCAAGGGCCGATGCGGCAAGATCGTGAGCTTTCCGTGTTATTATATCACCCAAGTGTCTGGGGGGGAAAGGAAGTGGTGGAAGATCCAGACTGCTCCTGCTTTGATCATAAAAACTATGGATTCTTTTCATAATATCGACGTCGCTGATGTCGACCAACGGATTATTATCCGCTATCGCTTTGGCCGAATCAGATTTTCTCGCGAACGCTCTTTCTGTGAGCAGCGCTGTCAATGAGTTCATAACTCTCATAAGCCCGTTGGATATTTCAAGAAGCTGGTCACGGTCGATTCCGGAATCCTTAGTAAATAATGAAAGCTCGCTCAATTTTACGAGGACAGTAAGCACCAACAGAGGTACGTGGTCAAGAAGCATGTCCTCTTCACGAACATTGAAATTGTCCAAAATGAACTGAGCGAGTTGCAAGTCGTCCAAAGCCTGCGTCTTCTTGTTACAAAAATCATCAGCTTTCCAGTCTATCAGGCCAAGAAGCTCCGAGAATATCACTCCGCTTTCGACACCATCGAAGAAGGCACTGGCGCTGCGAAAAACCTCGTCGAACTGATGCTTGGAAGCTGATTTTCTGAAGGCTTGGATGTTTCGCATAAGGGGTAGGAATACTGCAGGAACAATATGGCCGCCAACTTCCCATCTGTCCATCAAGGAAAGTGAGATTCGAAATGGCTTTGACCTTTCCGAGGGTGTTCTCGAGTCTTGCTCATTCATCCGAAGAAGACCTTTCACAAGAGGTTTCAGACCAAATTGGCTGAAATACTCTGACTGCGATAGCTTTTCGTCATCAAAAGTATACGATCCGGCTGTCCCTTCGCGTTCGAAAGATGGCTGTTCACTCGCAGCTTCAGGTCCTAAGAACCAAGCCCACAATCTCCTGTTCAGGCTCATGTCTCGTCGGGCAACAACCCCAACAGCCGCGATGATTAATCTCTGAAGGTCGTCATCTGTGATCCGCGACTGCAGTATAGGAGAGCTGAGTGGAAGGTGAGTCACGAGTAAGTCAAGAAAATTCCTCTGTACGAGGATTTGTTCATCCACCAGACCGGACGCAAAACACCTAATGAGCAAACCCGGCTCAGGCATGATAACGGAGTCCACCGCCACGCGCATATCATGTGGCATGTCTTCATATTTACTTCCATTACCCTTACTCGGTCTGCGATCCGTAATGCCTAACTTTGGCAAATATCGGTTCAGGTAAGCTAGGACACCCGAACGTCTGCTAGGGCTAGTGATGGATGCCAGGAACAGACACTGCCAGAAATATTGACCGCTTGATTCAGCATCCGCCCCAGATCTCTGCGTTTCTAGCTTTGTGGCGATGTCGCGAAATTTGTTAATAAGTCGCAGCGTGTGATCGAAGTCATCACTGGTTTCCTCTTCTAGGCCTGGTAAAAGGGCCAAGATTATAGCCTTCAAAGCTGGACGAATGGCCCATGGCTCGAGACCGCAAATATGAGCCTCTACCAAGGATAAGAACAGAGGACGAACTGTGAGCGAGGCGAAGGTGAGAGTGGGCGCGATGCCTGGCAGGTACAAGGGCAGGTCGTGTGACAAGCCTTCAGACTATTTGGCCGATTAAAGGCATTAGCAGAGATACACTCAAAATTTCCCGCGAGTCGAACCTTAATCAGATTGAATATATACGTATATACTTCAAGCGCCTTCTGGTGTACGCCCGATGGTAGGGAAGGGTTCAAGCACTGTGAGAGACGTTTGGCTACGAGCACCTTGTGGGGGACGACTGGTAAGTCTGCGGGATGCGATTGGAGAGCCTGAACCAGGTGAGCAATCAGCCTCTTATTCTAGGCGCATGGGGCCCTAAAATTACCTTCAAGAGGCGACTAAGAAATGAGATATAGTCCGCCCATTCCTGTAGCGCTGTGTCGAATAACGACAGGGCTCTTTCGACACTGGAAGCATAGCGGCGGTAATTCTTGTCTTTCTTCAAGGGCTCTGTTTGCGGAGATAAAGTGAGTTGCATAGTCCCGAATAATCACATATGCCTTCAATTGCGTATCTGAACTGGGGTTTGCGTACCCTCCTTCCCTCGTAAGCGGGAGCGCGTAAAGGAGCTGTCGGAGCTTGCGGGGGAGTTCGACCTCGGAAAAGAGCTCGGATCAAGGCTCATGATGCCAGTATCGAATATTCGGTAGGTGGAAGTGCTGTAGATCGCGCCGCTTCATATTTTGCGCATCAGGATTGGCATGATCGGATGATTTTGCGGATGGTTGCGAACAACTAAAGACACGCAGCCTGAATAGACCAGGCGGAGATATTTTGGGTCTCCGCCCGCCTCGGAGCTTCGACCTTCCATCGACGTCAACCCATCTCCACTTACTATCTATCTACTGCACGTAGCTGCGCTCAGCAGATAAGAGCAACCTAGATTACTGCCGTCGGATCTTCATGAGATTATTGCTTTCTCAATGTCAATGATGTCTAACACCACTTGACTTATTCTAATGATTACTGTTCACAAAGGAAAGCAGGACCTCATTGAAGTGGCATCGATGCGCATGATCTGCGTACGATGGACTTGAATGCTCTAGAGCAACCGCAGGTCTCACCCGGCGATGACGGCGCTAGAAGAAATACCTACGGCACTCCAGAATACTTTGCAAAAGAACCCTCGAATACCGGTAGCGATGATTCCTCCACGAGCTTGGAAGAAAGGCCTCCACCCCTCCCCCCGCGTCCGAACACCTTGAGCTTATTAGATGAAGGGTTCATTTCCTCTCGCTCAGTCAGGCAAACATTATCAGCTAGTTTGCAGGCCAAGGCTACGACGGCCGTGTCGATACCGGATATTAGCTTCCTGCAATTGAACGATGGTGGAAAAGAAAACTACCCTACCCGTGGTCCTTCGGGGGCACTAAGGGCCAAAGCAAGCCTCACTCAGCTTACAGCGTCGAGAAGCAGTGATGCGGGGGATTCTGTTAGTATTAGAAGCACGGCACCCAACACAGAGCTCGGTGAGGCGGAAAACGTTTTCAGCGACTTCCTTGCAGTGGAGTCCGGAGACGTTCAGCAGGACAGCAGCGGGCTTCTTCAATTCCCAGAGTTTCGGGCCGATGATGTCGAAGACGACTTTACGAGTGAATTTGAGCCAATCGGAGACCTGGACGATCAAGGCAAGAATGAAGGTTAGTGGTGATATGCTGTTGTGTAGTGATCATCTCACTGACTCAACACGAATCGCAGAGCTGCTTCTTGAGAGATGGAAGTCTAAAAGAAAACACTATCTCATCTTGTCTGCCGCTGGGAAACCCATTTGGACCAGGCATGGTGATGGTGGACTGATCTCAGGCTACATAGGTGTCATACAGACGATCATATCGTTTTACGAGGATGCGAAAGATCGTTTGAGCAGTTTTTGCGCCGGAGATACTAAGTTCGTGATTATCACCAAGGGTCCATTATACTTGGTAGCAATTAGTCGACTCTTGGAGAGCGATACGCAGCTGAAATTACAGCTAGAAGCCTTGTACATGCAAATTTTGTCTACCCTAACACTGCCCTCGTTGACACATCTCTTCTCTGTTCGACCGTCTACCGATCTTAAACGGCCCCTGCAAGGGACTGAGACGCTGCTGTCTACTCTGGCAGACAGCTTCACAAAGGGATCACCATCCACTTTCCTCTCCGCATTGGAATGCTTGAAAATTCGCAAGTCACATCGACAAGCGATCAATAATGTGCTTTTAAAAACCAAGGTCAGCAGCCTTCTTTATGGTCTGGTGGTTGCTGGAGGTAGACTAGTCAGTGTTGTGAGACCAAAAAAACATTCGCTACATCCTGGTGACTTACAACTTCTGTTCAACATGATATTTGAAGCAGAAGGCATCAAAGCAGGAGGTGGGGAGAGCTGGATCCCAGTCTGCTTACCCGGATTCAACAGCAGCGGATATCTATACATGTATGTCAGTTTCCTTGATCTCCGCGAAGATTCAGGCAATGCTGCCAGCGAGACGACAACAAAAGAAGAGTCGGTGGCGATCATCCTGATCAGCACGAATAAGGAGGGTTTTTTTGAACTGCAGGAGATGCGAAATTCGCTTGTCGAGGTATGCAAATCTGTCGCTAGAATCTGGCTTGTTCAGGACACTAACTCGACGCGGCGCTGGCAGCAATTGGAGAAGAATAGTAGTATCAAGATCATCAAAGAGGCTATTGATAGAGGCCGTCCGACTACTACTGATATTGTCCCCGGAACCGTCTTGCATCATTTTTTGTATAAATCTCGGGCAAATGTGCAATTCACCATGTCCTCTTACGACCCTGAGTTCACATCGATTTCTCGGCGCCGAAGGTTTGTCAAATCCATCACGCCATCTCTCAAACCCTTGATATGTTCGTGGACTAATGAACTCTTGGTGGTTCCTTTTTTCAGACTGATGTCAACATATAATAACCTACACTCTAGTATTCATGCTAAGCATGCTCATGTGAAAGTTCACCATTGTATCTCCCAGTCAGCCAGTTCTTTTGCTTGGGTGACCCCAATATTTGAACTTTACTGTGTTGCTAGCCCCAATGCCAATCGCAATGCACTTGCACAGAGTGCAAGTAAGATTGTCCAGTGGGTACAACGGGAGGAAGAACGGTTGTTTATAATTGGTGGAGCTGTAGGTCGTCCGCAAGAGAGAACTTTTTTGGCTAATATTGACTTCATTTCAAAAAAAGGTTTTCTGAAATCCAAATTACTGAGGTATTCCGCGGAACAGCGAGGCCATCTATGTGCAACACATACGAATCTCCTACCAACATGGATCGAGATGCTCAAATTCGTATTGCTTGAAGCGCCTCATATTGTCCCTAAGTCAAGATCTAGGGACAAAGACGAAGCCTTTGCTTCCGACATGACTCATCTAGTCATTGCACCTTACGGCTCGAGCGAACGGTCTAGTCGATCGTGTCATCTCGCAGAGCAAAGAGCTGCTGCATGACCTCATCTGCTTTGCTTCGGATGGCGTTATGATACATAACGTTCGTGATAAACTGCTTGATACCCTTGATCTTTGCCGCGGTCTTCGAGGCAAGGTCGAAGTGGACATACATGTCCTCTACGTACGTCGCTGCATAGACAGGGACTTCGTTGTTCGCGAGTCGAGCCTCATCATAAAGCTGGGACCACTCGGCCGTCGTGGCAAGGATTTCTGCGGCGTCTTTGACCTGCTGCAGTTCGGTGTATGACTCGAACATGTCTTGATAGATCTATAGTGACGAGTCGAAGTTAACCGTTGTTGCGGGAAATCTACCGGAGGAAGAACCTACCATTTCTCCAGTGAACAATATCTTTGGCTGCTTCTCGTCAATGTTGAACTGCGCATCAGCTGAGCGTAACCGATCCGCGGACCAATTTGAGGCTTGCCTGGAAGGAGTTAGCGATTGTTTCACATCCCACCGATAAGCTAGTTGCAAAGGCCTTTCTCACCCTTGGCAGTAGATCGCTTCATGAAGAATGGCGTAAATGATATTGTTGTCGAAGCCACCGTAGCTGTCGAGAGCGGTCAATGTTGGATGTGTGAGAAAACCAAAGAGCTCCAGGTCATTACACGCGCGTAGCAGCAGATCTGCCAGCTTCGGAGTTAGTGAAAGATAGAATTTGAAGCATAAGATGTAATATCACCATGAACGCTATCAAGACCGCCTGCAAGTCGTTAGAGCCTCCAGTCGTTTTTATTCATCAGGGCAATCAAGTTCACATACCGTGCATTCCAAACATGATACCAAGTTGCTGAATGCGTTCTGGCGTCAGAGTGCCAGACGGCACGGTGACGCGGTTCTCTTTCAAGTACTGAACGAGTTGCTTGACTCGATCAACATCTTCAGGAAATTTGTTATAGTATGCATTGTTTCTCTCCTTGACCTTCTCTTCTTTGTGTTAGAATGAGAACAGACACGCCAACTCAGGCCCAAACATACCGTAGGTGCGCTCATATACTGTATCTGGAAAATTAACAAGAGGAGGAAGCCCGCCGCAGATGAAGGCCTCTGTTAGTCCTTCTGGGCTTTAAATCAGATAGACGTATTATCAATAAAGCTGAACTATATGGATGAAGTGGGGAAAGACCTACAACATAGAAAGATACGTTACAGCACAGAAACCGCCGAAACTCTGGCCGATTATACTCCATTTGCGTTGGTCCTCGGGGTAGTCCGTAGTGAGGCATCGACGGATAGCTTCGCAGTCACGGACAATATTATCCGCACGGAAATGCTTCAGGTACTCGGCTTGTTTCACTGCATTGCCTTGAAGGGCGAGAGTTCGAGCCGTTATGGTCGAGCTCATGCCTGTACCGCGCTGGTCTAGGAACAGCACCTACACAACGATGAGGACATGAAGCTCCAAAGGAGAAAATTTGAGACAAAAAGATAATACGCACCTGGTAGCCTTTATCGAGCGCGGTTCCAACCCAGCCGTACTCTTGCGGAGGTCGACAGCCCATCCCCGGGCCTCCTTGAAGATAAACCAACCAAGGGAGCTGCTTCTCGCCCTTACCGTTGGCAGGATCAACTGGAGTCTCCAGACGACGGACGCTGCGAGCAAAGAGTCTCAGATTGTCATCATTGGGCTTACTGTAGTTCACGGGCACATCAAAGAGCAGCTCTGCCACGCGAAACTTCCCTGGAGAATCCCGCTTGTCAGTGCGCGTTATGAATAAAGAGTCCAAATGGACGAACCGGGGATATTATGAAATTTTCTATCGATTAACTTCGCAGCCATCTTCATGATTCTTGTAAATTGGGATGTGGGTTATGAGTAGGAGTGGCTATGAATATAATGGAAGCTCGCAAACTGTGGGAGTTGTTGACTTGAGGAGGGGAAAATGCTAAATGCTGCGGAGGTTCCTGGCTGTCTCGCATCCAACGGGACGATCTCCCGATCAATGGAGGAGAAAAATGTCTTGACTATCCATCGATAAGAACTCAAGCCGTCTCAATTCGAATAGAGTTCAATCATCTATAGACTCGTTTTTCGCTTTAGTCACATGGCTAACTACTCTGCTAGTGCTGATGTCCTTTACCCACCAGAGCTAGGCTGCCATGAATCGGGGGTATATATATGAATCACACTCACATTCCCCTATACTCAACTTTAAATAATCTGAATTATATTAAACCATG